CAGCAGGAAGCAGATCCAAGCAGAAAATCACAAATCACTCTTATAACAAAAATACAAAAAAACTATATTCAGGAGGTAAAAAAATAAAAATAAATAAATAATAAATAATAAAAAGACCGAAAAAAAAATGTGCAGGAAATGTGCTTGGTTTTTAAATAGAAAAATAATCCAGTATATAATTATCAAAATATCCTAGTAACTGTATAAAAAGTTAATATTTATTGTAACCATCAACAGGTCCCTTTGAAATGTGTTAATGCTTGGCTTGCAGCTTTACTAACAACAGTGTTGAAACATCATTGTTGCAAGCTGTATTCTAAAGCCTGGTATCAAAGTCTACTGCTATCAATAAAAGCCTTTCCATTGACTTCCATGTACTGTGGATCAAGCTTTAAAAAAGGTTTCCTGAGTGTGCAATTTTCTTTATGGTGTTTTAGAATTGTATTGTGCTTTCAGTAGTTTAAGGACACAGAAATTAGAGGGGGAAAAAAGATCATGTCCAAGAGAATATCTTGTGGGTACATTGGACAAAAAATCAAATCAGACTTTTGTTATGACACAAGTATTATTTACACATTTGGGACATGTCCTGAACAAATGGTTATTTTGACAGGTAGAGTGATTTATCAATGGGAAAAGGCAAGAGAAATTCTACTTCTCTAAACTCAGTTGCTACGTCTGTGCACATATTAGATTTGTCGCTTTGGCTACCAAACCAAACTAACCAATCAACCAACAAAAAAGGTTCAAGTTCAGACAGAAATACATAGTTTGTTTTTTTTCCTCACCAAAATGTAAAAGCAAAAAAATAGTCTCAAACAAAATATTCCATATGTGACACAATGAAATGTTTCATTTTAGATAACTTGTAAGAAAAGCAAGGGAAATGAAGGAGTAGATTAACCAAATAAGTGGAAGTTAGGGTGGTTAACTTCTGCTATCCAATAACATAGTGGTTGGTGTACGCATCTAGGATGTAGAAAACAGGTTCAAGTCCATCCTCTTCCTTCAAACCCATGTCTCCTACCTCCCACAAGCTAGATGACTCATTTGCTTGCCCAGTGTACAAAGCAGAACAGCTCCAACAGGAGCCACAGCCACACCTACCTCAGAATATGACATAGCTTGATGGTCAGGTGAGAGGCGGGGAGACCTTGATTGGTTTGCATCTCAATTAGTCAGAAGTGGACTCAACCAGCATATCCCACTTCCTTGATGTCTCATCTCAACAGCTCTTGATTCAGGTATTCTGAGGTGGCTTTTACGTGATCCCTTTCCCCCTAGCACCACTCAGAATTTTTGCTTTAGTGATGTTTGTTGATGCATGTGCAGGGCCATCCTAACCCAGGCACACTACCATATTTTCTGGCTTTAGTATATTCTGAGAGTAGGGCAGAGTTTTTGGCACCAATCCTGAGCTCAGTGTGGAATTGGTGTATGTACGACCTGAATCTGTCAGAGGCTCTTGAACAAATGAAGAATCCCTTTGATGGCAGTCAAGAAGTAATAATGATTCATCAGCAAATGTTATGCACGTAACATACATTCTAGGGAAACTTACATTAGGCCCATTAAGAAGGACACTGGAGAAATGTGCGCCCTGGATTCATACACCTCACTCCATTAGGCAAATGGTAGTTAAATCAGTTTTTAACCCCTTTTCACCCTGTCTTTGGCACACTCTTCATGTCATTTCCCTCCAATTATAAATAATCACTTTGAGCATTGCTGGCTCTTTTACAGCTTTGCTTTAAAATTCTTTCCTTGTCTCCATGCCAACAAAAATGAATGAGTCTGTCTAAGGCTGTTGCAAAAATGGTAACAGAGAAACCCCAAACGCATCATGGTGCACTAGAACCATGGTAGAAAGCAATCACTTTTGTGCGTGAGCGTAACTTTGTATGTACTGTGTAATTAGGAGTTATTTAAGCTTACATAAAAGAAAAGCAAAGTTCTGTTTTCATTTTCACTTGTGAATTCATTGTGCCATAACAGAGCACATACAAGCCAAATAATAGAATTAAACATTGGCAGTTCTCTCTAGCTTGTAAGTCTCTGCAGATGAACTCTTAATAGAGAAATGTGGGGAATATAAAATAATTCATTTCTGAGTTAGCTCTGAATGAAGGACTCCACCACTTCAGATTTCCTCCCAAAATTACAACCCAGCTGCTGCATTTATGGCCAATTGCTAATGATGTAATTATTATAAAAAGTGATTTTTTATTTTAGCACAAACAGGTGGGAAATTCTTTGAGACCATCTTTTTATTTGCTATGCAGTGCCTGGTATAAATTATATCAAAATCCCAAGAACTGCAAAAGAAAAATAATAAATAAAAATAAAGTAACATTACACACATACAATAAGCAAAATCAAAATAAGAAAACCTTTTAGATAACATTGGTTTTCTTGAGTAATATTAATACTAATGATAACAACAGCAGAAAGAGCAACAGCAACAACAAAGACACCATCACCAACAATAATATTTCCAGGCAGAGGGTCATTGAACACCCATTGTGGGGGCATGCTGACCACTGTAGATGTGGAGGGAAAGGGGATGGGTGAGTGTAAGGGAAGTCATACCTGCCCAGGCTGCTGTGGCTGCTGCTGCAAGTTGCTGTAGTAAAGTCAGCTGTGGTTAAGGTGGCCCTCATAGAGGACATTCCAGTTTTCTGCTACTCTGTCCTCTGGTATCTCTTGATACACAACCCGACACCTTTATGTCCTCTATTTTTCTCTTAAAGAGAGAGTCTTAAAGAGAAAAATAGAGAAAAATAGAGGCATAAAGGCGTTGGGTTTCGTATCATAAAGGTACAGGACTTTGGAGGGAACAGTGGACTTTATAAGTAGGACCTGCCAAAGTCAAAGTAATTTGCACTGAAGGAGAAACTAAGCAGATTCCATGGTTGGAAGATATGCCTGATCCAAAGTGGGGTATAAAATCAAAGCACATTGATCTGAGAGCCAAAGAACAATGTAGAGTGGTGAGGAAAACAAGGCAGGGTGGAGTGTGCAAGTGCTTTATTGTTGTCTTCAGCTACATATTGCACTGTCCCAAATCAACAGTGGTTGCTTTCGATATCTATTATGGGTTTCAGTGGGTAAATGGCAAGTATTAACATATTCAAGTGTTTATAAGGTTTGGGATTTGAGAATGCATATGCTTAAGCTATACGGTAGGGGGAGCTGGCACTAGTTCCACAGCTTATCCATTGACTGTTGAATCTCAGTTCCTGGATGGGGATGAGATGCAGAACTATATCCCAGGAAAATGTTGTGAGATCCAAAGCCTGTCTCTGTTTGAAATGGTGGACGCCTTTACGTCCACTATTTTTCTCCTGAAGAGAGAAATAGAGGACATAAAGGCATTGGGTTTCATATCAACAGAGGACAACCGGACTGTCCTCTATGATAGCCACCCTAGTTGAGGTGGTAGCAGCCCCCAGGCCAGGCTCCCTAGAAGCTGACCCTGGTGCCCCATTCACCCCTCAAAATGCACATATTGGTTGCAGGGATGAGCCTGCTCTGGCCAAAGCTCCGCAGGGAGAGGGGAACAACCCTTTAATTTCCCCTGCTCATGCCCCAGATATGCTGCTTGTTAAGGCACTGCATTGCTCAGCTCCTATGGCAGGCAGCACAGTGCTGCCTCTGTGATGGCAAAGACTCTTGGGGAGGTGCTTCTGGCACCACCACATAGTTGGCTAGTGCCTTGCTCACCCCAACCTTATTACTGTTTCCAGAGTTAGTAGTGAGTAGCAAATAACTCACTCATATGCACAGAAAGGCAAACATCTCCTAAGAGAACAGTCAGAAAAGAAAATG